GAGATTCCTGGCCCCAGCCCCACAGACACCAACACTCCTCAGGGCTTCCCTGTGTGCCAGACCAGAGGAGGTGCAGCTTGGGAAAGGGATGGAGAAGGCAGGGAAGGGAGTGGAGACCTCCAGAGCTGGTTCCCCTTCCTGAAGCAGGTTCTGCCACCACTCCTTCAGGAGTCTGGCAGTTTGGGCTGTTGATCTAAAATTTACTGTAACTCCTATAGCTTCTGCACTGAGTAATTCAGAGAGATTCTCAACTGCCAAGACTTAACATCTAATATTTCAATATTTTACAAAATGTTGTTCCATGTTAGGGTGCAGAAAGTTACTAAATGTTAGCATGACAGATTTTAGGTATGTGTTTCTAATGGCCATCCTCTGTAACACACCCCTTGCCACCAGAAGCTGGAAGCTCTCTGAGCCGATCAGCAATGCTTTTTTCTTGCCCACTGTGAGCACCAAGATCATTTCCACAGACAGAGTCACCTGCCAGCCTGGGGACAGGCTGCTCTGCAGGGAGGCTGGCCAGGCCAGCTGCAGCACAGGGCTGCCCCTGCAGGCTGCTGGAATACTCCCTGGTGTGCTGGGAATGAGGCAATTTAGTGTGAAGTGCAGATCTGCAGGTTGGCAGCAGCGCAGCTCTGCCCCGGGGTGGGTGTGCAGGCAGCACTGCTGTTCACATGCTGTTTGAGAGGGGAAAGCTGAGAAATTGTCTGTGCCTTCTTTTCATGTAAAACACCTGTTCCGTGCCCATGAATGTTCCATAACTTTTTGCATAGAGTTGTTCTTGTGTCTGTTTCCAGGACTCACAGTCCATGTATAGGGAGGTCCTGGTGAGCACTCAGTGGTTGTTAGAGACTGGTGCTTGCCCAGGCCTTAGGGATGTCAGAACTGCTTCCCTTTCTCCCAGCACCATCCCAGGAGAGTGGCACAGCACTCACTGCTATGCCAGAAACCCAGAGAGCCACATTATATTTGGAATACATGTCATTTTTCCTCCCTGTAAATCTTTTAAAATGCAGTTTCTATAGCCTCAAGTTGCTAATTTTCATCAATACCCTTTCTTGGGTATTTTTATATCCTATCCTTTTCTTTTAAGCTAGAGCTAATGAGCCTGTCTTTTCCTGAAACTACTCTCTCTGTTGGGGAGCAAGTGCCTGGTGCTGTCTGGTGGCTGCAGTTTGTGCACAGAGCAGGTAACACATTTTCTGGGCACTGACTGTCTTTGTCATAACTGCTGGGCAGGCAAATGACCTGCAGTTACGTTTCTTTTGTTGGTTTTGCTCCGTGCATCTCCTTGGATTTACGTACCAGAGCTGCTGATGGTAGTGCTAAAGATTACCCAGAAAAACCCCAGAAGATGGAAAATTGTTGAAACAGTGCTGGAGACCTTAAGCGTGTTTCACAATTGCATGCACAAAATCTGGGAAACGTTCTGTAGTTGATTTATCAGAGTGGTTATGCTTCCTAGATGTAACATGAAAGTGCAAGGTCATGTCTCCATTCTCTGCTGTCCTGATGAAGTTGTACCAGTGCCAACCGAGAGAGGCTTGTAAAAATCCACACTGTATGTCCAGTCCCACAGACTAGAAGAGGACTCCTTTGCTGAAACATAAATGTTAAACTTTTAAATCTTTAAGGAAGAAAGGCATTTAAAAAACTTGTGCTTTGGCATGCTAGCCTCTCAAACATATTCTCTGCTAATTCATTTAAATTATTTTGAGATGTGCACCATTCTGTCTTCAGGGTTTCTAAAGAACCAGATCAAGTATTTAGGTGACTACACCATATGTAAATTATTATTTTAGGGTTTGCATTATCAGTAAGGACAGACATGGAGTGTAGTGACTGGTGCAGCCTTGTCCCTTCCCTCCTCCCCAAAGCTGCCTGTGTCAGAGGGACAGACTCCGACTAGTGTCCAGTCTGTGTCACACTGAAAAGGGAACTGAGAGGGGGGCAGTCCTGGCTGCCAGAGCAGTGGCTGTGTCAGGCAGCTGGGGGGTCTGTTCTCATGCCGAGTCCCAGAAACAGAGGGGCTGAGGTTCCAGTGCCCTTCTTTAAGAGCTGTGTTATTTCTAATATCCTCTATAAACAAAAACATGTTGTTAATGCCTCTGGAGCAGAGTTCTCCTATGTGCCCTTCCAGCTGCAGTCACCCCTGTCTGCAGTGACAGGCGGGGATGTCCCTTACCCCTGGAAATGAGCTCTGGCTCCTGCGTACCCTTCTGTCCCCCCTTGACATCTTGAAAGCTGTGGCTGGCCCACAAGCACTCAGTCCAGGGCACAGCTGAAGACCTTTCCTGCCTTTCTGCCCACTTCCCAAATGGATTTACATGCCTTTCACATTTATTTTTCCTTCTCCAATACAACGTTAGGCAACACTGTGTTTGTTTCCATGAAGCCCACCTTCTCACCTGACGTGTTCCTCAGCAAACAGAGCAGACTGGCAGCCCTGGGGAGTGCACATGGGCACTGGCTTTCTTGTTCCACACAAAGGGTATCAGGAGGACCACTTACTGTCCGTATTAATTCTGTCCCCCCTTGCAGAGGATTTGTCTCTGTGTGGTGAGGTCGGGCTGGCAGCACAGACACTCGGCCAGGTAGATACCTGTGTGTGTCACTTGTCCCCACTGGTCACCTCGGGGCTTCCTTGCATGGTGTTTGGAAACATGCAGTGCTGCTGCTGCTTGTTGCTTTACAAAACAGGTCCCAGTCACTTCACGTGGCAAGTAAAAAAGGGGTAATTCAGCTAATCTAGGCTTCTGGTATGAATTACCTGACTTTTTTAACAGTTGGGAGTCCAGACAAAAGACTCCAAAGATAGTTGTTACAAACTCTACTAAACACAGTGAATTCATTTTTAGTGTCGAAGAGTTTCCAGCTGTTTGAAGGAGGGTTCTCCCACCCTTCTCTTCCACTTTACAGTAAGAGTATATATATATAAAAGAACATAAATCTTCAGTAGTGGGAAGTCTTTCATCCATTCCTTCATGAAATGCTTCCTTTTCACATATTTCTTCTCCCATGTGTAGCTGCCAAACCTGATCTCTGCATTTTTTTTTTTTCCTTGTGGCTTTTGCAAAGACAGCTCTCACAGCTGCAGCATTGATGTCCAGCCACTAAGGGGTACAAAATGAATTTGTCCTCTCCCTGTTTTGTGCTTTGCCCACCCAGGACCTCCCCTTGATACGAGGGGCTGATGTGGCAGCACTCTGGGCTTGGCAGGTTTGTGGAGTGTGGTGCCCAGGGCTGGCACCAGTACTTTTGTTTCATCATCCTGTTCCACCACAGTGGAGGCTGTGGCCATGGTGGTCACCAGTCCCAGACCATGGAGGAGCAGAAGGTGGAGGCTGTGACCATGGTGGTCACTAGCCCCAGACCATGCAGGAGCAGAAGGTGGAGGCTGTGGCCATGGTGGTCACTAGCCCCAGACCATGCAGGAGCAGAAGGTGGAGGCTGTGGCCATGGTGGTCACTAGCCCCAGACCATGCAGGAGCAGAAGGTGGAGGCTGTGGCCATGGTGGTCACTAGCCCCAGACCATGCAGGAGCAGAAGGCACGGAACTCCCCAAGGCTGGTGGGGTGTCACTGTGTGTTTGAAATGTTTGTCATGTGAGCCTGCTGCTGTCTGAATAGATGGAGTAAATTTTTGTGTTTCCTAACAGATTGTCTTCTGGAATCTGGTAAAATACCAGTATTTTTAATCTTCTCTGTAGAAAGTAGTTGTGCAAGGAAGGCAGAGACTCAGTGACAGATATCTCACCTGAGGTGTGGGAGTTATCTCCACTTTGGCTCTTGCTGTCCCATTAAACTGCCCTCTACAAAAAGAAAAGTAAAGGTAAAATATATTTCAAGCTAAATTGCCAAAACAGCTTTTTCATCATTCCATTTTGGCATCCATTTCCAACTTTTTTTCCTGCTCTTCAAACCATAATCAAAATAAGTCCATAAAACGAATTTATTTCTTTTTTTAAAAAAAGGATTTGAACATTTTGTGAATGAAACGGTGAAAAAATATGTGCCTGAAATGATTAAAAAGTAATTTGAAAGCATTTTATTTTTGCTTCTTCCCTAAAAAAAATAACATGGGAAGGAGTTTTCTTTTCAGCAGCAGAACTACAGCTTCTGGGTTTAAAGCAGAAATAGCAGTCTCTGGTAAATTTAGCTTATTGTTTGATCTCTGTCAGCCGTGCTTGAAAAGGAAACACACTTTGTTAACTATCAGTGCTTTAAGTGGCTTCTTCTAGATGTATGACATAATTTTCTCTTCACACTGCGTGTTACTACAGAAATTATTAAAAAATCTGACCACATCTGTCTTTTTTTTTTTTTTCTCTGTACTGTTACTCAGATCCCTCAGGGTATTTTTAAGCAGTGAAAAGGTGTAAGCTTCTTTC